GTTCCCCGTGCTTTCATTTCCCATCAGTCCATCATGTACCCAGAATGCATCGCTTCAGTTTTCCAATAAACAGTTTTAAAATTACTTTAATGAAAAATCTACAACAAACAAAAGAAAAAGACAAAGAAGCAGSCGAACTAGCAATCCTCATCAACTTTTTAATTTTTACACCAGGAGCTAAAGGTCTGTTTCAGGAAATCTCATCCCCAGCAATCAGCCGTTGTAGAATTAAGTTGTAAAAGAGTTCATACACCACTAGTTGGCAGTGTTGTGTATATGTTGTATATAAATTATTATCAGCTAGTCAGTGTCAAATTGAACTTGTGCTTTAAAATTAGCTTCTGCTAATTTTTCTATGACATAAGCRTTTTTGAAGTTGTGGATCTAAATATTTTCACAAGTGCTTTACAAATTGCGGAGCTAATTTTTGAGTTAGAGCTGCCCACCACTGGACTTAATCAAATACTTGTATAATTAAATATCCTCTTCATCAAATAATTCCTCATGTAACAAAGCAGCTGAGAAACCCACAGAACTACTTCATAAACCTGAGTAACCCGTGAGTATTTTACAGACTAAATCAGCTATTCTTATAAAAAAGTTATTAACCTTTTTTCATCCCCTATTTGTGGTGCCCCCCAGATGAACATAGCCCTTAGCCTTTGCCTACACTGCCTATGCCACAGGCCGGCCCTCCTTGTTTGTTAGTTTTCACAGTTTGTTGTAGACGACTCTTGGCCACGATCTGAGCTCAGTGTCTGTAAATTAATTAAGTTCTGCCTCTATCAAGAGCTCAAACTGTAAAGCTGCCAAATCTTTTCTGTAAAGTAAAAATCTAAATGATTTAGTGTTAAAAGTGTTTTGATCAAAGTGACATTTGAAAGTAAAGTTTGAGCATGAACTSACCCGTTTCCTCGTGTCCACAGACCCCTGTGATGAGGTCTGAACACAGTAGCAGTTGGAAGCAGACTTGTTGTTCAGGCCCCAGTCAGGACTTGGGCCCATAAAGACCATAATATTGTCTTCTTCTGAAGACGATAAAAAGCAGAGCTGATCTCTGACCAGCTCCTTACCCCTCATCTTCTCTCCTCCTTGATCTTCCCACATTGTTTGCTTAGCTTTATTTTCTGTTTTTCCTCCCTCCCCTGTAATATTTTCGTGCAAAGAATAAAGTTTTATCTGCGTGGGCTCTGGGAAAGACGGCCCTGGGATTGGCCCTTGCCCGTACAGATGCTTTTAATTTACCGGGCTTTTCTGGCTGCTCTAGAAGCATCATGAAGGGACGGATGAAGGCGAGGTGGAGAGGAGATGGAGGGAGGGGAACCTGCCTGTATTTCCTGTGGATTAAAAATCAGATGGGCGCCCTCAGAGGAGGTCTCAGGTCCTGGCCTCCCTGGATGGCTGGGAAACTGACCCCCATCTGACTCCCTGGTCCTCCCAGTTCCCTGGCAGCCCAGGGACACAAGCCGGGTCTGGAGAACCGTGAAAGCGCCGACAACTGCACGGCGGAYCAAACCTCTTTATATTTTTACTTTTATCTCAGGTTTAGTTCTGCAGTTTCACAAAAATGTGTTTGAAAATAAACAGAAGATTAAAAARATCAAGCTTGATAAGAAATAAAAAGCTAAACCTTCATTGGATGATATTATATGAGGAGAAAAATTGAGTCAAATCAAGTATTTCAAGAATCTTACCAAGTAAAATGTTCTTACTCCACTGGCAGAAATGT